TATCAAGTCGGGGAAAAGAGACATCGGCCAGAAGAATACCAAGGGCCAATGATAGCCGGAGACTGAATCAAGATAAGGATAAAACTCTCAAGGAGTTTATCTTTATCACTTAAAAGAGTCAGAGTAAGCACTAAGATTGGAGTTCATAGAAGTCATACTTCTAGTGGGACTTGGATTGAGTATATTATAAAAGAGAGGCACCCCCGTGGGTCTAAGGTATGTAATTTATACTTTGAGTATTCAGTTTAGTACTTGATTATCTTTGAGAGATATACTGACTTGATCGTCGGAGTGTCCCCGGGTGGAAGAACCACCGCCGGAGCTTTTTCTTTCTGTCTCAGGTTGCTTAAGCCATCTATTCCGCTTGTGCTCTCCAGCTGATCACTAGACGGGCAGTGTGGTCAGATTTTCACCCACACAGATGGATTAACATTCCATAATGACATTGGTATAATTGCGAGAAACTAAGGCTGTGTTTGGTATAGCTTTTCAATTACAATTTCACCTCTTCACGTGAACAAGGTGTTTGGATGGGCTTTTCAAAAATTAATTTCACCACACATTTCAAAATACATTTCTATTTCACGTTTGGCAGAGCTCATTCCAAAACAAAGTTCCAATGCAAAACTCTTTCCTTTTCATACAGTTTTTGAATTTTTTGAGTCTATTGGTCGTTCCCCTGGACATCCTTCCGGTTGACTGCTATTGCTACAGTGGCTTTTTTTTTTTTAAGAAAGAAATTGGTAACTCTTTCATACATACATACATACATACATACATGTGTTTGTGCTATTGTAAACTAATTTTCTGTCGAAAGCGAATAAAAAAATTGAATAAAATTGAATTGTGTGTGGTAAACTGTGTAGATGCTAACAAAATAATATTTTAATTTTTGTTTGACTCTCACATACATAATATTTTTGGCTATTTATTTGAAAATAACAATACAATAAATAGCAAATAATTCGTGACAGTAATTATTAAAACTATAAAAATATTTTAACTGAAAAATATTTATAAAAAATTCGAACCAAATATACAATCAAAAGTTATTTTAAATCAGTAACTGAATATTTATTTTGAAAAAAAAAATTATTGCCTTTGTAATATTTTCAATTAAAAAAATCGATTAATATTATTTTCTGTTAATAATTAATTTTTTTAATTGAATTTTAAAAAGAATTTGTTCATTGTTCAGAATTTTCAATAGAATTTTGAGTAGTATTTTTGGTTATGAGTTATAACAATTTGAATTAAGTTTTGAAAATTCTTTTAAAATTTCATAACCAAACAAATTTTCTTATTTCACATGTCACGTCAAACATTAAAAACTCAATCCAACACTCAACTCAAAACTCAATTCAAAACTGGTAACAAAACAAATTTTTTACACTCAAATTATAATTCTAAAACTCACAAACTCAAAATATAACTCTATTCTCAAATCATATTTAAAAAATTCTACCAAAACCTACCTTTTTTTTTTGGTACGTTACGCCTACAGGGAAGAAGTGGGAGCCTTGATCTTGTAACGTTGCTTTTCTAGTTTAAAACTTTTTTCCTTTTTCGAATTTTTCATATAACAAAAGGAAAATATATATATATATATATATATATCGCTAAACAATAAATTACAAAAATTAAAAAAAAATAAAAAATAAAAATAAATTGGCTAGCTTTTTTGGTGTCATCCTATTGGATTCGGCAATTTTTTGGTAAATAATTTTTTATTTTATAAAATCTAAAAAAAAATTGGTGCATTTAAAATTTTACTTTCTGTTACGAAAAAATAGTTTGTGAAACTTTTTTAACTAGTTACTTTTTTGTGAAAAATTATCACATTACATTACCATTAAAATGTTGTAAAGCCTTTTGTTAACCTAACCAATCAGACACAACGGAATTTCTTAAACTGTTAGGGGTAAAATCATATTTACAGCTAACTGCAAGGATTTTCTCAAAAATAAAAATTAAGGAAGAGTTACTTATTTAGTCAAATTAAATAAATTTTTTACTTTTTGACTTTCTTAGTTGAAAAGCAACTTATTTCGTGATTGCAAGGTTTATCACATGAAAAAAAAGTAGTTGCCAAACAAAATCATGACTACAATGTGCAAAAACATCTATATCTTGATTTTGAAAATTAAATGCATACAACTAAAACCACCTTGATGAGATTTTCTATTGAACTCACCAACTTCAATTCAGATTAGTGAACAACTACGAAGTTGCGCCACAAAAAGGCACCAAAAGGAGGGAATTTTTCAGATTAGTGAACAACTACGAAGTTGCAAAGTGACAAAAGCCACAAAAAGGCACCAAAAGAAGGGAATTTTAGTGGTCTATGTCTTCTTCTATCAACAACCTCTGGTTATATAAACAATTCTCTCATGTAGAGGCAGGCATATATTGAATCTCCTAGACATTCTTCATGCTAAAAGGAGGGCATAAACTTTTCGTACAACTCTCTTGCTCATCAACAAAGCCTGCAAAAGCAATTAAGCCAATGTCAAGAAGCAAATCCAACAAGTATGTCTCCAAAAGTGAAAGTCGTAGAAAAAAAGCAAAAATGCAAAAGCGATGCATTGACTATCTTATAGATTTGCTAGAAATTTTCACCCCCCACTTGGGTTATTTGTTTTGAGAGTGAAAATAGCACAAAATACAAGAGTTTCAAAATGAAAATTTTGGAGATCAAGAAAGAACTAGAAACCGATTACCATACAAGTTTGTTAAGCAAAGGTCCATTGAAGAGGTCTAAAGATGTTATTAATGACTATTTTCACCTATTGGTTCTTATGGTATTCTAAGAAAATGGTTCTCTATCCAATACAGATACTCTCTATGCAACTTTTGCGAGTACAAACTAAGCCACTGGATCTTGGATTCATAGGTAGGAAAGGGTTTCAATGGCTAATTGGGTTTATAACTCATCTTAACGGCCATTGCTGTTAGCCTTCATTTAAGTTACCCCCAAGAGCAATATCAACAGTGTTCAATGGCTAATTGGGTTTATAACTCATCTTAACGGCCATTGCTGTTAGCCTTCATTTAAGTTGCTCCCAGGAGCAATATCAACAGTGTCTTTAAATAAAGACAATATAATGGAACTCCATTTAAATATCATAGAATAGAGTAACCAGGCCCTTAGATACACTGCTGGTGTACATGAAAACACTAAACAAGAAGAGAATGCAATGATGTAGTACCAATTCTTGCCATAAACTTTCCCTCTCTTGAACATTCAATCTCCTCTCCTCTGTTAGTTTTGAAATGATAACTTCAGCCTGCAAAAGTAAATTCGGAAAAATCATGAGCACTGTTCTTTGAACATATAGCAGTGGAAAGGCAATCATAAACCACTTTCTAAATCCATTAAGTGTATTAAATTTGGAAATTTAACAGAATGTTTCAGTCTTGACCATTCCATTTTATCCTCAACTGGCAGGCATTCTCATCCTATAAAGTGTTCACAGCAGGAAATGAAGCCAAGTGCATAATTGATGCTGAAGCATTTTTAATGTGGTAAATTACACTTTGTGCTTATGTACTTTACCTCAAATCTCATTTAGTACCTGTACTTCTAATTGTGGCAGTCGAAAACTGACTTTTGGTCAAGTTGCAATGTCAAACCTCGGTCAATGGTTGCCAGTAAATTTGACTGGAATTAGACATGTAGCAGCACATGGCCTAATTTGGCAATTTAAATCTCCCAAGTTTTTCTCTTTCATGAAGATTCACTTTATTCACTGATATTTGCTTTGATGGAAACTTTTTTAATTCACGTGACATTCATCTGGCCAGTTTTGAACATTTTCTATACGGAACTTGACAGCAGTATCGATATTGATATTGAAACTTGACTAGAAGCATAAGGTTTTGACTGTCACAATTGGGAGTGCAAGGACCAAAGTGAAATAAATATGGGGTAAAGTGCAAGGCTGTATGGTATAATATACTCATCTTTATGGAATCTAAAGCCAGTCTGTCCACAAAAAAAGGGCAACCAAGTCCACAAGGATCCCACTGTTTGTCATATCTTTCACATGGATTGAAAATAAAATATATCTAGAAGAAATTAGGTATAGCTTCCACATTAACAAGCACTCATAAATGTATCCCTCATATAAAAAAAAACTAGAGACGTTGGAGGCATAAAATATCAAACTAGGTATAGCTGCCAGAGAAGTCTCATTAAACCCAGGTACCCTGGCAACTAACCAGCGAACAAGGAAAGCCACATGATTAATACAAGTAGTTGGAAACCAGAAACCCGGGAGAAAACTGACCTCACTTAGTTTTGATTCAAGTTCATTTAGTTTTGATTCAAGGCTTTCGAATTTCCTCAGCACTTGATCTTTCAGTATTGAAGGTTCATAAGCCGGCACCTGTTTCAATGTTCTATTGATTGGTGAAAGTACCGGAGAATTGGGGGGACTGACAAGGACCACTTTCAGCTTGTTCTCTTCAACGTATCTGACATCATCTTTGGCAAACTGCCAAACTAAACCATGAGAAACGAGAATAGTAAATCAGGACCAACAACTTTATATACAACTACAAAACAACTTACAATGCTAGGAGTAATATCACCATCACTGGTCCCTGCAGGAACAACTGTGCTCTGAACTAAAAACTGGTCTTTGCATATCATGTCAGGAGGAGCCACCCTTTCTGCTTGCATCTTAACTACATAACACCAAATTTGTCAACCATGAACAACCATAGACAAGGACAACAAACATTTAGATAGTATGATGAATGTAGTAGATGTGAACACAATATTTGAATGTATCAACATTTTCTAAAATCTGCAATAATATATCAAGTTTATTTCAGATGGCAGTTTAAAGATTGTGTAAATTTAATAATGTGCAAAGAGATTACTTTTGCTGCCTTTCTTTTCTTAATTTTCCTCTTTTTTATCTAAGGACATTTCCCAGTGATGGGAAAATAATGATATACTAATTTGAGTCTATAAATTTATCTATATCCACGAAAATGAAAACTGTCCTTTTACCTTAACCAAAACAAAAAGAATCCAAAAAATTGCCTCTGATAATGCACAAACATTGTAAGAAAAATTGGGGGGCCTGAGAAGCTCGGAAAATCATCTGAATGAGTATTGGTTGGAGCTAGAGGGACAAAAATTTAAAGCCATGGCCTTTCCTTCCTTTCCTAACAAAATTCCATAAAAATCCATAAACTTTATAACTTTTTTCATTTGGTCCAATGCTCCCAACACCCCTATCATCAGTCTATTTATCAACTAGCATTCCAACAACAATGATGCCTAATATGATCACCCCAGGATAACCCCCTATGCTTTTAAACAAAAATAGCTTGGCATGCAGCCTTCTATGAAACATCTGCACAATTTTAATTCAGGGTTTGAATTATCACTCCATGACAATAGTCTACATGCATATTCAAGATCATCTGTCCTAAAATAAGAAATCCTAAAATAAAGCACAAATAAATAAATCAATTCCAAAAATATTCCGTCCTTGCCTCAGATAGGTATGAATGACGGATCCCCATCAGTTACTGCTATCCAACTAATTTCAAATACCCTTTAATAAAGTTTTTTCAATTCAATTACTAATAAAATGAGAAGTATGCACTCCTTACTCAATTGTTGATACCAATATATATAGGTAACCAATTTGTATGTGTGCTTTAGAAAATGCAGCAAGTATTTATTCATTTTTCTTCTTTTTTCTGAAAAACCTTATGTTACATTAACTTTCACTTACAATAAAAGTTACAAGACATACCAGTGAATTCACAAGTTGATTTTGGCTTAATAATGGCTCTGTTCGGTCGCACGGAATATTTTTTTGGAGATGTAGCTTTAACCTGCCAAAAAATCCATTGATTATATTTCCACCCACCATTCCATTTAGAAAATGCAATATTTCACTAGTACTACTCATGCGAATAAAACATGATTTGTTTGTACCTTAAACGCAACATGGTTGTTGGACTTATTGAAGAGTCGAACAGAGCACGTTGACTGCTTCTTCAATTCAACTATAAAAGAAAAAAAGGAATAATATTAGGGCATGTTAATCAATTAGTTTGAAATTCGATACACAACAAAAACAAATGAAATAATATGTTGAAATAAAACAAATTCGCTCCCAGTAAGAAATTAAACCAATTTGTTTTCATTTTTGGTATCTTGTTAACATGATAAGAAAGTCACGGCAATTTTTTATTTTTATTTTTATTTTTTTCCCAAAATAAAAAAATAATGCATCAACAATGAATTGTACTCTTTATTCAAAAAGATTGCTTTAGATAACCAATTGGTAAGTGAACAAAGAGTATATATAAAATATAATATGTACTAATATTTACAAAATCAAAAGTATGGAATTGAGAGACTAGGAAAACAGATGATCGAGATTGATAAGACTCACATATGAACTTGAGTTCACGGGGATGAATTTCTAAAAGCTCTTCGGTAGTTTCTGCCAACTTCCTTTTCAAGTCAGCCACTTGAAGTTCTTCCTTAATGTCATCTGTCACCTTCTGAAACTTATTTTGCAATTTTCCATTTTTACTGCCCTTTTCCTTTGAAGAATAAGCTGAATCCGAGTCCGAGCCGGAGGAAGAAAAAGAAAAAGAATAATCTCTATTCCATTTTTTCCTCAACTGGCAGGCATTCTCATCCTACAAAGTGTTCACAGCAGGAAATGAAGCCAAGTGCATAATTGATGCTGAAGCATTTTTAATGTGGTAAATTACACTTTGCGCTTATGTACTTTACCTCAAATCTCATTTAGCACATGTACTTCTAATTGTGGCAGTCAAAAAACTGACTTTTGGTCAACTTGCCATGTCAAACCTCGGTCAATGGTTGCCAGTAAATTTGACTGGAATTAGACATGTAGCAGCACATGGCCTAATTTGGCAATTTAAATCTCCCAAGTTTTTTTTTTTATGAAGATTCACTTTATTCACTGATATTTGCTTTGATGGATTTGGCAATTTAAATCTCCCAAGTTTTTTTTTATGAAGATTCACTTTATTCACTGATATTTGCTTTGATGGAAACTTTTTTAATTCACGTGACATTCATCTGGCCATTTTTGATCATTTTCTATACGGAACTTGACGGAAGTATCGATATTGATATTGAAACTTGACTAGAAATATAAGGTTTTGACAGTCACAATTGGGAGTGCAAGGACCAAAGTGAAATAACTATAGGGGTAAAGTGCAAGGCTGTATGGTATAATATTCTCATCTTTACGGAATCTCAAGCCAATCTGTCCGCATAAAAAGGGCAACCAAGTCCACAAGGATCCCACAGTTTATCATATCTTTCACATGGATTGAAAATAAAATATATCTAGAAGAAATTAGGTATAGCTTCCATATTAACAAGCTCTCATAAATGTATCCCTCATATAAAAAAAAACAAGAGATGTTGGAGGCATAAAATATCAAACTAGGTATAGCTGCCAGAGAAGTCTCATTAAACCCAGGTACCCTAGCAACTAACCAGCAAACAAGGAAAGCCACATGATTAATACAAGTAGTTGGAAACCAGAAAACCGGGAGAAAACTGACCTCACTTAGTTTTGATTCAAGTCCATTTAGTTTTGACTTCATTTCCGAAACATCTTTAACCAACTTCAGCTCCTCCATATCATTCCTTGTTTTATGTTCTACATCTGTTATTGGCTCATCCACATCCATCCTTGTTTTATGCTCTACATCTGTTCTTGGCTCATCCATTTCCTTCCTTGTTTTATACCCGACATCCATTAAAGGCTCATCCGCATCCTTCCTTGTTTTATACTCTAAATTCTTTGCTGAATTTACCTCCTCACTATTTTCTACTTTGGACTCCACATCCTCAGTAACCTGACACAAACGAAAAATCAAAATCACAAATATACTATATTTTCAGATACAACACCAAGGGAAAAGAACTTCATTATAATATGACAGATAGCTTGAGTCATATGCTGAATCCCTAACTCAAATCTCTTTCCTAACTGGTCAATTTCCAGAACATAATGAAGCTCCAATGTAACCATTAGATTCACATGTACAATTCCCCGAATAGACTTACATCATGTTGATGGCCACATATAAAATGTACATAGATGAGCCGATATCAAAGTAAAAGGAGAATCTCTTACCGTGTGACGTTGGGTAAGGCTTTTGACTTTCCTCGGCACTTGATCTTTCAGTATTGAAGGTTCATAAGCTGGCACCTGTTTCAATGTTCTATTGATTGGTGAAAGTACCGGAGAATTGGGGGGACTGACAAGGACCACTTTTAGCTTGTTCTCTTCAACGTATCTGACATCATCTTTGGCAAACTGCCAAACTAAACCATGAGAAACCAGAATAGTAAATCAGGACCAACAACTTTATATACAACTACAAAACAACTTACAATGCTAGTAGTAATATCATCATCACTGGTCCCTGCAGGAACAACTGTGCTCTGAACTAAAAACTGGTCTTTGCATATCATGTCAGGAGGAGCCACCCCTTGTGCTTGCATCTTAACTACATAACACCAAATTTGTCAACCATGAACAACCATAGACAAGGACAACAAACATTTAGATAGTATGATGAATGTAGTAGATGTGAACACAATATTTGAATGTATCAACATTTTCTAAAATCTGCAATAATATATCAAGTTTATTTCAGATGGCAGTTTAAAGATTGTGTAAATTTAATAATGTGCAAAGAGATTACTTTTGCTGCCTTTCTTTTCTTAATTTTCCTCTTTTTTATCTAAGGACATTTCCCAGTGATGGGAAAATAATGATATACTAATCTGAGTCTATAAATTTATCTCTATCCACGAAATTGAAAACTGTCCTTTTACCTTAACCAAAACAAAAAGAATCCAAAAAATTGCCTCCGATAATGCACAAACATTGTAAGAAAAATTGGAGGGCCCGAGAAGCTCGGAAGATCATCTGAATGAGTATTGGTTGGAGCTAGAGGGACAAAAAGTTAAAGCCATGGCCTTTCTTTCCTTTCCTAACAAAATTCCATAAAAATCCATAAACTTTATAACTTTTTTCATTTGGTCCAATGCTCCCAACACCCCTATCATCAGTCTATTTATCAACTAGCATTCCAACAACAATGATGCCTAATATGATCACCCCAGGATAACCCCCTATGCTTTTAAACAAAAATAGCTTGGCATGCAGCCTTCTATGAAACATCTGCACAATTTTAATTCAAGGCTTGAATTATCACTCCATGACAATAGTCTATATGCATATTCAAGATCATCTGTCCTAAAATAAGAAATCCTAAAATAAAGCACAAATAAATAAATCAATTCCAAAAATAGACTGATGGATCCCCATCAGTTACTGCTATCCAACTAATTTCAAATACCCTTTACTAAAGTTTTTATTAGACAACTTCCAAAATCAAAACACCAGCAACTTACACAATATGTATTTAATTCATCAACTAATAGAAATGTCATATAAATAAATAGAAAGAGCATATACACTTTGTCTAGTAATAAATGCATTACACATCCATTTTTGAATTTGTGAACACCAAAGTTATATGTTACCAAGGGGAAAAATTAAAAAGGGCAAACAGATATTAAGGGCAGACAGTGTGATACGTCTCATATGTTTCAAGGGGAAAACCGACAAGGCATTTTGCTTCACATAAATATGCCTTGGGGATACACTTATACCAAAAAATCCATTGATTATATTTCCACCCACCATTCCATTTAGAAAATGCAGCAATATTTCACTAGTACTACTCATGCGAATAAAACATGATTTGTTTGTACCTTAAACGCAACATGGTTGTTGGACTTATTGAAGAGTCGAACAGAGCACGTTGACTGCTTCTTCAATTCAACTATAAAAGAAAAAAAGGAATAATATTAGGGCATGTTATTCAAAAAGATTGCTTTAGATAACCAATTGTTAAGTGAACAAAGAGTATATATAAAATGTAATATGTACTAATATTAACAAAATCAAATGTATGGAATTTAGAGACTAGGAAAACAGATGATCGAGATTGATAAGACTCACATATGAACTTGAGTTCACGGGGATGAATTTCTAAAAGCTCTTCAGTAGTTTCTGTCAACTTCCTTTTCAAGTCAGCCACTTGAAGTTCTTCCTTAATGTCATCTGTCACATTCTGAAACTCATTTTGCAATTTTCCATTTTTACTGCCCTTTTCCTTTGAAGAATAAGCTGAATCCGAGTCCGAGCCGGAGGCAGAAAAAGAAAAAGAATAATCTCTATTCCCATCTTTTTCATCCTCAACTAATGTCTTCTCCACCGACTTCCCGCCGCAGCTGCCAAAAATCGATCGCAGAAACCGGGAAAACTTTGAGGGTTTTTTAATAATGGATTGTGGTTGCTGATCCATTGTAATTCTTGGTTGGGAAAAAAGACAGAAGGAAGACAGAGTTGTAGAGATTGCGGTAGAGATGTAGAGATGTAGTGAGTGGCTTTTATCGTGAGAGGGAGTTCATTTTTTTCCATATTCTTGTTTTGGTAGTTTCTTTTTTTCATATAAAATTGGGGCATCAAATGGAAAGTATTCACATTTCCATTCCACATTTCCTTAACTCTCTATCTCTCTCTCTCTCTCTCTCAGTGTGTGTGTACGCGTGTGTGTGGGAGATGAAATATTTCATGATCAACATTTCTTAAATTGCAAAGTAAGTTGAGTAGTTAATAATTTTTTTTTTTTTGGAAGTAATGGGAGATGAAAATTTCGTTCTAATCATCCTATTGTATTATTGTGTTGAAAATAAATTTCTTTTTGCCGAGCGAAATTTTTTTAAATTGAATTTTTCTCTATTAAAATATTGAAAGAACTTAACTAATATGAAAATATTGTATGTCTTTTATGTTATAAAATCTTAATATTAGATACCTTAAAAAAATTCTATTTTTATAATAGTTAAGGTTCCTCAATATTTTTACAGAGAAAAAATTTGATACAGAGAAATTTTTCTGATTTCACAAAAAAATTTCATCAACAAACCTTAACTAATAAAAACAACATGTTGGACCTCTCTTATTACCAGGGTCGGCCCTGAGATTTAGGGGGCTTAAAGCGAATTTTGAAAATGGGAGCCCCTCTTACATTAAAAAAAAAATTTATGGATAAAACGATAAGTTATAACTTTTTTATTTATTTGTAACCACAAAAAATTTACTTGTACATATAATCATTAAAATTATAAACAAAACAATTTAATGAAACAAAATTAAGACAAAAAAATTAAGAAAAAATTATTCAATTAAAACTGATAAAGACCTAGGTAAAAAAATTTGAACAAAATTATTTATTCCACTAAAATCTAATAGATAAAGAAGGTAAAAAAAATTTTGGGCCCATATATTATATGTATTATTTTTCTTGGGTCCAAACACTTTTTTTTTTATATATATATATTTTCATTTTAATAAATATGGGCCAAACTACACTTATAAAAAAATATAGACCAAACTACACTTATAAATAAATATGGACTAAACCATATATGGAAAAAAAAAAAAAAAAAAACATTGAGCCTATAATATTTTATCAAATTTGGAGGCCCTATTTTTAGGCCAAAATTTTGAGGCCTAAGGCTCAGGCCTTACTGGCCTTAGGCCAGAGCCGGCCCTGCTTATTACCCAAAATTAGAGAGAGATATTTCACTAATTCTCCTTTTTTAAAAACCAAAAATATTGCCCTAGTTTTATAAAGACAAATATAATAAAATTATTTGATTACAATTGTGGAATCCATTTTTTTTTTATAACTAAACTTACTATAAAATTATATAAAATAAACCATTCAAATCGTAAGTTGTGAATTTAAGTCCCGTATAAGACGTTGGGAGTGATTCCATTTTCCTTTCTCCTTAGATATAGGCCATACGGTTAAAAAGGGTAATAAAATCCCCTTATTCTTTCCCTTAAATATAGGGTAAATTCTTTATAATAAAAAAATGGTAATCAAATCCCCTTATTATTTCCCCATAAATATAGGTGAGGATAAGTTCATAAAAATATAATAAAAAATAAATAAATAATGGGACAACGTCCACCTAGGGTAAATTCTTTATAATAAAAAAATGGTAATCAAATCCCCTTATTCTTTCCCCATAAATATAGGTTAGTATAAGTTTAAAAAAATATATAATAATAAATAAATAAATAAATAATGGCACAACATCCACAAAGTGGACCCAAAACTTCTATGACAAGGTGTGCACATCGACATTGTGTATTCTGGGTTAGCATCATTTTAAATAGCATTCAAAGCTACACCAAATGCAACCTATCACCTTGACCCACTCATAGATAGAACTTGTTTAGGAAGATATTAAAAAAAAAAAAAATCAATTTACTAATATATCGACTTATTTGGATTATATCATCTCTTTATTTATTTATTTTTTTCTATATTTTTTTTAGAAAGTCAAAAAATAAAAAAAAATGTCGCTTTTCAAAATAGGCTAGGAATTAAATGTCTGATCCAATAAATTTAAAAATCTTTCCAAAAAATTTAAGGACTTTAAAATTCTTACATTATTCTTATCAGTCTATTGATTTTAGATTGTATGCTAATTTTGTAAAATTTGAAGAACTTTTATACATTCATCAATTTTTTTAAAAAAAATTAGTACGCTATTAAGGGTTATCACCAATGCCTTTAAAATAAGACTAACAACAAATATACTTGCCGATAATAATAAAAAATAAAAAAATAAAAAACTATGCTTAACAAAGAAAAAGGTTAATAATTAATAAAAATTCCATTATTTTGACCAATTGAATTTAATAATTTAAGGGTAAAACACCAATAAATCTCAAAATATGATCTTGTAAATGGTTTAGTCCTCTTTTTTTTTTTTATGAACCCAAAAGTCCTATTAAAGTGGAAATTGCACAAAATGGTAGTCATTTATACGTTTAAGTTTAATTTTTTAGAGATAAAAGTGGATTTCTCCAAATGTGAAATTACATATTTACTGATCAACATTACATTTAAGTTTAATTTTTTAATTTCATGATCAACATTTCTTAAATTGCAAAGTAAGCTGAGTAGCTAACATTTTTTGGAGGTAATGGGAGATGAAAATTTCGTTGTAGTCATCCTATTGTGTTATTGTGTTGAAAATAAATTAAAATAAAATTGCTGATTTTAAAATATTAGTTAAGTTCCTATTGTGTTATTGTGTTGAATTTAGCCAAAGTCTTTTGCTGAATCATTTTGTTTTCAAGGAGAGGCTTGTAGTTGAATTACTAGATTTAGTGGTTGTACATTAACTTGTGACTCGTGAACTCATGTTTCTTTTTTCAAGTGTAATAATTTGGTGGTGTGGCTTAAGGTGATCTACTTGTATACTTATCTCCTATTAGGTTCCACTTGTTCCTTTATGTTTTTTTTTTATTTATTTTAAATTAGTTAGAAATTATCTCTCTCTTTTTTTGAATTATTTTTGAGATACTGGTGGGCAACCAGAGTTGGCTTTGTATTACAGTTGGGATCTGGCACTAATTAAATTACTTGAAAAGGCCAAAAAATCTCAGGAACCAAAAAGGGAATTCCGATTTGCATTTGTGGTCAAATGAGAAAAACCAAGAATGATTATATGACTCATTTTGATGTAGAAGGATTTTGAACCAAGTATCAATGTAATCATAGTAACTATATTGTATATCATGGTTGGGAATGTCTCGTAGTAGAAAAGGGAGACTCCATTCTTCCATAGAAACAATATTATGAATGTACAAGGAATGATAAATGATTTTACTGGTCTGGACTCGATCATAGATAGGTTTAATGACTATTGACTTATGGTGGAAAAGAATATCCTTATAAAAGGTTATTGATTTATCGGGATGGGAATGAACGAAATGCCATCCATTAGGGAAATACGATTTGACTAATTCAAGAACATTGTAGATATTTTTGTGGACTAGTTCTTTGTAAAAAAAGATTGCATGATTGTTTAAGAACATAATATGTTCTTGGGGTAGACTTGTTAGGAGGCATTAGCGTAATTGACTGGCAGACAAAAGGGTCTGAAGACAGAGCCAAAGTGTAACTAGGTTTAGGGATGTTACCAAGAATTTGGTATCGGTTGACTAGATCAATTGGAGGTGCAACAATGGGTTGAGTGGATGGCACAATGGCAAGAGGTTTTGTAGTAGGTTTGTGACTTGACATTTGTAAGAAAAAAGACAGAAGTAGATTAGCATCCACCGAGGACATCTAATCTATCCATATGAAAGTTAACTAGATTAGTGTAATGAGCAATGAAATTGCGATAACTTCTAATCTCATTGAATTGAAGGTAATGGTCTTGATGAAGGTAAAGGTCATTTTGTAGTGACTTTAAATAGGATATTTTAAACTTATAATAGCGAATAGTTTTGTAGTATCTTGTGACTTGTAATCTGTTTGTAGAACAATAAGGAGTAAGCATGATGCACTATCCTTCTTGTAAAAATTCTCGAGTAAGGAAATTAGAGATAGAATCTTGACTACCAGGAATATATTCAATATCAAATAAAAAATACTTAAAATGGATTGCCATAGAGCAAAAATATGTTTATTAGCAATATTTTGAACATCTTTTTCCAAAACATATTTAGTACTTTTGCAATCAACACGTAATAGGAATTTTTTCTTTAAAATGTCATCTTGAAATTTACTAATACATAAAACTATAAATAAAATTTCTTTTTTAATAGTACTATAATTTTTCTGTGCTTTGTTCCAAACACCAGAATGAAAACGAACAACTTGTCCAAAAGTCCTATTAAAGTGGAAATTGCACAAAATGGTAGTCATTTATATTGGTTTTAAATTGTTGAATTGAAACTTGAATCATGCATGCATGTACACATTGGTGAGTTTTGAGGTTGTTTTCATGGAAATTCTTACATGCTGTCTACACTCTTGTCGTAGCTCATGAATTCATCTTGTTTTTGGAAGTTTAGACTCATTTGATCTTGTATTAGAAGCTTTGAATTCAGATGAAAACATGCATATCATATGTTCATCATGTTCTTGAAGTTATTGTTGAAATTGTGTTCAATTGACTCATCCTTGGGCTTTGATTTTATAAATTGATCTTCAAAACATGTTATATTATGGGTTTAAAGTGTTTTCCCAGAAAATGGGCCCAAGAGGTTGAGTTTTGAGGTGTTGAATGCTTGGTTTGAGCTTTGAAGGCAAATCTGGAAATTTCAAAATTTGGCTTCCTCGCTCGAACGAAGGATTCCACGCTCGAGCGACCATCGTTTGTTCAGAGCTCTGCTCGAGTGAAGGAATGATGGCTCGAACGTAAATTGCAAGCTCTCAGGTTTTTGGTGCACACAGACGCACGCTCGAACGAGGGAACCTACGCTCGAGTGAGGACTGTGTCTTACGCTCGAGCGAGCGTCGAGCGGGCATTGAGCGGAAATTTTCAACATCTAGCACTTTTTGCATTTTACAGACCGCTCGAGCGAGGAAGTCCACGCTCGAGCGACCCCACTGTTTTGACAAGCTCGCTCGAGCGAAGAAAGCCACGCTCGAGCGAGACCCCTGTTACCATAGCATCACCCTGTGAACAAACCCTTAACGCATTTATAGTAATTTCACCTTTTTGGTTT